TGTGTGTGTGTGTGTGTGTGTGTGTGTGTGTGATGGGACTTGAACTCTGGGCCTGGGCGCTGTCCCTCAGATCTTCAGCTCAAGACTAGGTATCTTATCACTTGAGCCAAAGCATCACTTCTGATTTGCTGATGGTTTCCTTCCCGGGCTGGCTTGGAAGCAGGATCCTCAGATCTTGGCCTCCTGAATACCTAGGATTACAGGCGTGAGCCACTGATGCCCGGCTACACACATATTTTTTTGTGCCCATCCTAGGGCTTGAACTCAGGGCCTGGACACTGTCTCTGAGCTTCTTTTGCTCAAGGCTCTGCCACTTGAGCCACAACTCCACTACTGGGTTTTTCTGTGTATGTGGTACTGAGGAATCGAACCCAGGGCTTCATGCATGCTAGGCAAGCACTCTACCACTGAGCCACCTTCCCAGCCCCACACATCCATTCTTTTTTGTTGTTGTTGTTTTCTGTCGGTGGTGGAACCTGAACTCTGGGCCTGGGCCTTGGCTTTGTCCCTGAGCTCTTCAGCTCAAGGCTAGCGCTCTACCATTTGAACCACAGCGCCTCTTCCAGCTTTTTCTGCTTATGTGGTGCTGAGGAATCAAACCCAAGGCCGCATGTATGCAAGGCATGCGCTCTACCACTGAGCCACCTTCCTAGCCCCCACAACCATTCTTAAAAAGTGTCTTAGCATTTAATTTAATGAGTTTTTTACCTTCCCCAGACCTATTTGTATACCTGAGCTTTTCCTTACACCACATTTATTATTTTAGGAAATGATAAAATATAGTAGGGCTGACCCCCTTCTCATCTTTGTTTAACTATTTCCATTTTTTTGAGCTTAAAAATATTTTTATTAAAGTTTTGAAACATTTTGACATTGCTCTTAAGATATGCTAGTATTGGGCTGGGAAGGTGGCTCAGTGGTAGAGCGCTTGCCTTGGCATGCATGAGGCCCTGGGTTCGATTCTTCAGCACCACATAAGCAGAAAAAGCCAGAAGTGGCGCTGTGGCTCGAGTGGTAGAGCACTAGCCTTGAGCTGAAGAGGTGAGGGACAGTGCCCAGGCCCAGAGTTCAGGCCCCATGACTGGCCAAAACAAAACAAAAAAGATCTGCTAGTATTTTGTGTTAAATGTCCCATTAGGTTAAGATCGTAGTAATATATCACAGTTGGAGAGCTATTATGATTGTGTAGTTTCTCATTTCCATTTCTGTTTTAATTTCTAGATTTTGGATCATTGTTTGACTTGGAAAATGATCTTCCTGATGAGCTGATCCCCAATGGAGGAGAGTTAAGCCTTTTAAACAGTGGGAACCTGGTTCCAGATGCTGCTTCCAAACATAAACAACTGTCGGAGCTTCTTCGCGGTGGCAGCGGCTCTAGTATCAACCCAGGAATAGGAAATGTGAGCGCCAGCAGCCCTGTGCATCAGGGCCTTGGTGGCCAGGCTCAAGGGCAGCCGAATAGTACAAACATGGCCAGCTTGGGTGCCATGGGCAAGAGCCCTCTGAACCAGGGTGATTCATCGACCCCTAACTTGCCCAAACAGGCAGCCAGCACCTCGGGGCCCACCACCCCTGCTTCCCAGGCACTGAATCCGCAAGCACAAAAGCAAGTAGGGCTGGTGACTAGTAGCCCTGCTACGTCGCAGACTGGACCTGGGATCTGTATGAATGCTAACTTTAACCAGACCCACCCGGGCCTTCTCAATAGTAACTCTGGCCATAGCTTAATGAATCAGGCCCAACAAGGCCAGGCCCAAGTCATGAATGGATCTCTTGGGGCTGCTGGCAGAGGAAGGGGAGCTGGAATGCCTTACCCTGCTCCTACTATGCAGGGAGCCACTAGCAGTGTGTTGGCTGAAACCTTAACACAGGTTTCCCCGCAAATGGCCGGCCACACGGGACTGAACACAGCGCAAGCAGGAGGCATGACTAAGGTATGTAACTGAAGTGATTGAACCGGCTTTTTGTTTGTTTGTTTTGTTGTGTATGTTACTGAGGACTTGACCCCAGGGCTTCATGCATGCTAGGCCAGCACTCTACCACTGAGCCACATTCCCAGCCCCTTAGAGGCATTATTCTCTAAGTACCATGCTCTGTTGTCCCTCGTGGTGGTCTTTGTACATGACATGCATATGTGGAAGAGCTCCTCTGTTCATGATACAGATTTCTGCCCATAGCTTTGAAATGATAGTGCTTTGTTGTTGCTCTTGGCGACTGGAAACTGTGTGACACAGCCTGGCCTCAAACTTGTAGTTTCCTGCCTCAGACTTCCAAATGCTAGGATTATAGGCAGGTACCACTGACCTTCAATTTTTAACCCAAAGAGCATGTGTAAAAATAGGGAACTTGAAAGAGGCAACTTCTGCCAAAAATAAGCCTTTTAATGCATTAAGTTTGTAGGTCTGGTAATGAACGCTTTGTACTTCACTGTATGCATCTGATAGAGTACTTTCTGGTGTGTGTCTTTTTTTTTTTTTCATCTACCTGAGAATATTGTTTATTGTTCCTGTCCATTTTACCCAAGATGGTTAGTTATCTGCCTTTAACACAGGAGAAAGGTTGGGCAGAGCCATGGACATGTGGGTCCTGGGGTCTCATTAGAAAGACCACAGCAGTGGTTCTCAAAGTACCCTTAGGCTAGAAGTTTAGAGTCCCCTGGGAGCTTGTTGGGAAGGCAGACCTACTAAGAATCTCGGGGTGCTGTAAACATTGGAGGAGGCTGCAATGCTTGATAAGAAATGTACGCATTATCCTACCCATGTAATTGTAACCCCTCTGCACAGTATGTTCACAAAAAAAAAGAATCTTGGGGTGCAGCAGCCTGGAACTCTGAGCTTTAAGAAGCCTCTGGGTGATTGTACAACCCTGCAAGGCCTGGAGCTATACTCTGGGGAATAGCCTGGGCTGGGATTTACATCCACTAAGGAAAGACAAATGCCAAGACAGATAGGAGAAACTGAAGAAAATGGAACCTGACATAGGAGAAGAGTGAGGAGAAAGAAACACAGGCTGATTTGCCAGTAAAGTAAAAAACCCTGCAGAGACTCTGCAGCCCAAGGCTTACAAATGATAGCCACGGCGGACCTTTTTCAGTGCAATTTAGCCAATTCCAGACTGTTAGGACTGTTCTTTGAATTTGATTATTCTCAAGAAGAAGGGAGAGGTAAGAATAGAACACAGTTTCTCCTTCAGGTGGATTGAGAACATGGGTGACTGGTACAAAGCCCCATGACTTTCTTTTTTACTTAAGTACGAGAGAAGTAGTCCCACATTGTAATTGAGTTTATCTTTTGAAATGGAAGTAGTGGGGAATGCAAACGTAAATTTTAATGTTACCTGTTACTGGAAGAAGAGTCTGGGGTGAGTGGGTGGCACTGATCATTTTAGAGTATGATTGAAAAGGGTTTATGCCTCCTGGGTATATGGACATTTCTACACTCTTAAGTCATCACTCTACTCCACACTGTCCAGTTTAAGGAATCGTTCTATTTGGAGAACTTAAATCATACATAAAAGGAGACGTAACTAGCATAATCCAGTAGTTTTCAAACTTTTTACTCTCAGGTTCTTTGTTTTTTTTTTGCCAGTCATGGGGCCTGAGCTCTGGGCCTGGGCGCTGTCCCTCAGCTCTTCAGCTCAAGGCTAGCACTCTTCCACTTGGAGCCACAGTGCCACTTCCAGCTTTTTCTGTTTATGCGGTGCTGAGGAATCGAACCCAGGGCCTCATGCATGCAAGGCAAGCACTGTACCACTGAGCCACCTTCCCAGCCGTGCTTTCAGGTTCTTGAATAATCTTGGATACCTGAAGGAGATTTCTTTCTTTCTTTCTTTAATTTTATTTTTTTGGGGCTGGTCCTAGGGCTTGAACTCTGGATGTGGATTCTGTCTCTGAGCTTCTATTGTTCCAGGCTAGTGCTCTACCACTTGAGCCTTAGCACCACTTCTGGTTATCTGGTGACTGTTTGGAGATAAGAGTCTCACAGACTTTCCTGCTTAGGCTGGCTCTGAAACATGATCCTCAGATCTCAGCCTCCTGAATAGCTAGGATTATAGGTGTGAGCCCTGTGCACCCAGCTCAAGGAGATTTCTTTAAAATCAGTATTTATACAGCATTTTAAAACACATTAGCTGTCAGGCTCACTGGCATTGACATATCACACAGGGTCTGAAGAACTCCACTGCTAGTTGGAAATCATGTCATGGTTTGTACTGAAGTCAGTTATTCTTTATAGTGTCACAGTAGTAACCTGTTGCAGTAGTAACCTAATTTGTGTCTGTTGTAATTTATAGGACATGAGCCCTTGAGGCTAAACGGACTATTTTCAGTATTTCGGTGTTGTCACTGTTTTGTTTCACACCTTCTTAAACACACTGCTTTGTACAATTGAATGAATGCCGAAAAATTCTTGAAATTGGAATTTTTGTATTAAAGGATTTTGACATTTTAAATTGAAATAGATCTTACCAAATACTTCACAAAAATATTACGCAAATTTCACCCTTACCAAGAGTGAATAGCCCCTGCCTAAATTTTTAACAATATTAGATACTGTTAGATAGAGGTTTTCTTATACTTGTCATTCTTTTAGGCAATCTGTCCTTGCTTGCTTGCTTGCTTGCTTTTCTTTCTCGCTTTCTCTTTCTTTCTCTTTCTACCTTTTCTTTCTCTCCTTCCTTCCTTCCTTTCTTCTTCCTTCCTTCCTCCCTTCCTCCCTCCCTCCCTCTCTTCTTTCTTTTTCTCTCTCTTCTTTCTTTCTCTCTTTCTCTCTCTCTCTTTCTTTCTTTCCTTCCTTCCTTCTTTCTTTCCTTCTCTGTAATAGGGCTTGAACTTAGGGTCTAGGCACTGTCCCTCAGCTCTTCAGCTCAAGGCTAGCACTCTGCCTCTTGAGCCACAACACCACTTCCAGTTTTCTGGTGGTTTATTGGAGATAGTCTCATGGACTTTCCTGCCAAGGCTGGCTTTGAACTGATATCCTCAGATCTCAGTCTCCTGAATAGCTAGGATGACAGACATAAGCCACCAGTGCCCAGTGAAAAGACATTCTTTTTTTTTTTTTGGTTGTGGGGCCCGCACTCTGGGCCTGGGCCTGGGCCTGGGCCTGGGCTTTGTCCCTGAGCTCTTCAGCTTAAGGTTATCATTCTACTACTTTAGCCATAGTGCCGCTTTTGGCTTTTTCTTATGTGGTGTGAGGAGTCGTATCCAGGGCCTCATGCATTCAGGGCAGGCACTCTACCACTGAGCCACCTTCCCAGCCCCAAAAAAGATACTTTTTTTTTTTTTTGTCGGTCAAGGGGCTTGAACTCTGGACCTGGGCGCTGTCCCTCAGCTCTTCAGCTCAAGGCAAGCGCTCTACCACTTGAGCCACAGAGCC